CTAGTCCCTTTTTCATACCAACAATGATTGTTTGATTTCTAAGGAACCAAACAGGGTATACATAAGTCAATTTTTCTTACTATAAAATCTCAACATTCAGATGGTTTGAATTAAAATGAAATGTGGAATTTCAAAGGAAAACTTCATATTTTAGAGCCCTTAACCTTTTCTCAAAGCTGGTGACTCATCAGCTTCAGCTGTTATTGATCAATTAACACTCAAAGTAAAAATTGTGATTTTTCTGATATGTTTAGTTTTGGCAATGCTGATCCATTATTTTGTGAGCAAGAAAAAAATAATGGATCAGAATTGAAAGATTGTTGAATGAACCACTACACCATTGGTGTATTTTGTTGTATCTAAGCTAGATTGTGCATTTGTAAAGAGTAGACAGTCCCCATGTATGTATGATAATAAACTACAACTCAGATGACAAGGAGGACAAGCACATAACAGGCACAGTAACCAAGGAAAATAAGAGCAATCACAATTTCAAGAGAAAAGAAGGAAATGACAATAAAATCAAGTAGATGTGGCAGTGCTATCATTCAAACTTGCTTCATTGAGATTTGGATCAATTGCCTGTTCGCTTGCAATCGGATTGTTTGAAGCTGCCAAGTTTTGAGCTGTAGAGGTGTTTGAAGAGGTAGTCTCCAAGTTGGTACGGCCTTCATCAACAGGGATTACAGTGAGCCACTTGTTGTAAATGGCCTCAAGAATAATATCAACTTTTCCATCACTTGTATTCTTAAATTGTACTCCCACCAGATCCTCCTCCTTTAGCTTCACTGCCTCTGGAGCAATGTTAACCTTCAACTTCAAGTTCTTGAAGACCTCACGAGCCTTCTCACCTGGCCAACCACTAGTGCGAACCCCGTTTGATGCTTTTGCTACTCAAATGCATAGATCAATCAGCTTGACCATCAAGTCTGCAAGTTTGGAGATGAAGAAAAACATCTTACCTAGAATTTCCTTGAGCTGAGTGGTCATGGAACTTTTGTTTGTTTTTGCAAGCCCCGTGTCCCAAGGTCCCTTTCCTTTTCGTGGTACGTTTGATGTCGTCACCTCAATTGCAGTTCGCTTTCGCTTCTTACAGACTGCCTCTATTGGCAAGTCATGCAAGTTTGCCTCGACCCCCAAACCCGCAGCCCACACTCGGAACCCCCTCCACGGATCGTTGTCGTTTGCTTTCTTAGCTTTGGTGCTGAGAAGCTGCATGTAATCAGCGCCAAGAAAGCTCGAGCCGGTGATGAAGACACGCCCTTTAATATCGGTCGATGCAAGAACCAAAAATGATTCAACTGAGTACTGTGTGCTGAAAAAATTCATCTTGATTTTGAAGGCAGTTGTCAGCTCAAAATGTGATGTGCAAAAATGTGGAAGGGAAGGCCAGACTTACGTCGGTGACTGTCTTCTTAGCCCAAGCTTTACAATGAGAAAGAACTTGTACATCGGTTTTCTTTGGCCCACCTGTAGTGTCTTGTTCCAGCTCCCTTGCCTGCTCTTGATCCTCATCCTCAATCTCTTCAGGATCATCAACAGGTTTCAGGCCCATTTTTTCGCGAAGCGAGTTGATGAAATCCCAGTCGTTATACTTCAATTGTTCATCCTCGTCAAGTTGCCTCCATCGTTCAGCAACCTGTTGCATTCTTTCAGCAGGGGGTAGCAGCTCTGGGACCCAAAAAAGCACAAGGAAGAAAATTGTGAATATTTCAGATGATTGGGAGATGCATTGATGACAATTCAGACAGGACTTACTTGAATCAAAAAGTTTTCGAGCTTCTGCAGCGTACCGGCAGAAGTTATTGAACCTGTTGGGGCCTCGGACCTTGTTCCACACACCCACCCATTTGAAAAGAAGCTCTGATCGGATCTTATGCTCTAAAGCTAGAAGGTGAATTTTGCGTTGATATTCTAAGGTGAGTTCTTTGAGCTGATCTTTAATTTGATTGGTGATTCGTTTGTTTTGACCAACAGCGTTCTGAGCGATTCGAAGTCCAAGGAGAGTTTCATTCTGCAGGCTACTCATTAGATTGTTTGGGAGAGATGGTCGGTTGCCAGAGACTGAAAGGTTTGGATTTTCTTCATTTTGAAATGTGGTAGCTTCTCCGCGCGGACGGTTACTAGAAGGGTGGGGGTCTGATGCAGTGGTATTAGTGGTTGGCTCGCGACCCTCGTTCGATGTTGAATTTTCTGCTGGGATGTCTGTTTTTTTCTTACGAGACTTCCGTTTCTTGAATGGACGCGCATTTGCTGTACTAGTCGTGGTTTGATGTTTGGCTAGTCGTTCCACCGCCAGTAGGCTTTGTTGCCCTTGCGTCGCAGTATTGCTTTGTCTGAGCTGGGTCCGGGGTCCAACGTTGTATTGCTTGCTACTTGGATTAAACAAGTACGTTTGGATCGTCAGGACCGAATCCAGAATTATTCCCGCCAGAAAACGAGTTTCGAAGGCTTTTGTTCGTCTGGAACTCAGCATTCATTAGTCGGTGATCACAATTGTTATTTGGATACGGTTGGGGATCTACATAGCCTGAAAAAGTTCCATAGTTCTGCGCCATCGATCTGTTGAGTGATTCATATAAGTACCTGAGAGTGAGAATAAGGAAAACGACACAATCACTCACCAGAGAAAAAATTAGATTGTATTCGCGGTCACCAAACAACAATAGCGCTTGGAGGGGTTGAATTGTCGGCAGACTGTTTTTTCAGTATCGACGGACTTGGAGGAGAGGAAGGGGGAGTGAGGTCGACTTTGAAGTTGAGCGACCTTGGGGGGAATTTCGGCTGGGAGTTCACCCCAAACCGGCGGTTCCTGCGGCCGACTGAATCCCCGCCAAAATCACTGTCTAAACCCGCTTATACGCACACGCGAGCTACTCTCTTAGAGGGCAGCGGCCAGTCCTCTCAGGTGCAAAAAACTGTTCATTTTTACACTGCAAGAATCACTGAAAGAAGTTGGCAGGTGCGCAATCCGTTTATATAAACAGACAGACATGCTGATTCGTTCAAGAGGCTGAATCCTATACTTCATGGACCATTCAGATTTTGTTATGATTATTGGCATCCTCCTGAATCAAATTTCCTGCAAACAGTGGATTCCAGGGCAGTGATCTAAATCTGAATCTGGAAGGTCTCATGAAGGTCTTGATAGGAGATCAATGGAGGACTTCCCGTCAACATCTGCGGGTCTCCCAGAGCCCGTTTAGAGCCTTGAAATTCAAATCTCCCTGCGAGAATTAAAGGTTTTCGGCTCTAGATTGACTTCTGCGAGGGTCCCAGATCCGACGGGAAGTCCTCCAATGGTCTATGACACTGTTCAAAATTCTAAATGGAAGCTTTCTATCCAAGTATGAGGTGACTTTCATAGTGCTTAAACACTACAAGATTCTCATTTGCTTTTTCTTCTGAAACCATCTAAGCAGCAAGAAGTTCACAATTCCCTTGTACGATCTTAATCTTTTGTGAAAGAAAAACTGGGGCTGAATTCTATTTATAATTGGACAATGGCCTGGGCTGCAGTAGAACAGTGTTTCCCAAATCTAATGTGCATGTATAATTGATCATATAGGGAGGGGGGGGATGACAGCATCAGTTGTTTAGTACTGGAAAGGGATCAGGTAGGATCAGGTATCAAAACATTTACTCTGAATGAGAAAGACATAATCCAGGATAATGAAGGGAAGCTTATTTATATGAATCAGGAGAAGTAAAAATTTCACAAGAGAGAAGAAGCATCATTCAAAATTCCAGGCAGGATTTGCTAGGGATATTGGAAGAAAATCAAGAGTACTTCAAGTGCTGGAACAGTAATTCAAGTCCAGAAAAACATTCCATAGAATGGGATAAATAGATAAAATTCAAAATTCAAAAAGGGTCACTTGAATATACAAAAATTGATATTTTAAGGTTTAAGTTTGTATAAAAGGAGCCTTTAAGAGTTATTGCAACAATATTTCTATATATTTTCATTCCCGACAAAGAGGGCAATTGAGGAGTTTTTTCTCCTTTTTCTGCAGATCAAACCATGGTTTGATGCATGTTGGATGGAAACAGTGTCCACATTTTTTGACACAACTGATAGCTTCAAATTGAATATCTGGCTTGATATTATGTTTGAATCTCAGGAGTCCATCCTGATATTGAGAATTTGTTTTTAATTTGGGAGATTGAAATTCTGTTTGACAGATTGCACATTGACTCTGACTCTCAGCCACAAGGATAACTTTTGAAATTTTTTCAAGAGGTAGCTGATCTGAAGTTGAACTTTCTGAATCATCATTAAAACTCAAATGTGTTGGATCTTTGGAAGTCAGAACTTCTGGATCAGTCTTTGATCTTCCTGGATCAGTCTTGGAACTTGAAGCACCATGCACATAGTGAGGTTTTTTGAAAACTGTTATATCATCTTTGAGTATCCTCTTTGCTTCAGAAATTGAGAGGATGAGGTTGGGTTTCATTTTATGTGATAATCCTGAAGCGTACTTCTCGGGCATATATCCAACTGTTCTAGTTTTCTTTCTAAGATATTTTATCCCAGTGGCAAAAGCCAATCTTTTGAACCAGTCTTGTATCCTGGTAGAAAATGATTGAGATTGCCTGATTTGAACTGGATTGATTTGATGTTCATTCAAATAATCATTATAAGCTACTCTATAATCATAGAGCTCAGAATCTATATCAGTACTTGTGTGTGATAAATGGCTAGAAGTTGACTCTGAGCCATCAATTATTGAGTTTGTTTGATCAAGATGGTCTGTAATATGGATTCCTCCTTCTATGCTAGAATCAAGTTTGGACTCTGAGGAACCAAGTGCTACCAGAACACCAAAAAGCTGAGCAAAAAACAATTGAAAGGGCAAATTTTTAATTAGAAATTTTGGATTCATTCATATGGTCAGAATTCAGGCAGACTCAACTAGACTCATGTGTGAGATATTCATTTTTGTTCAAGTTTTAGTAACTCTTCCTGAATCAACAGTAAAAATAAAATCAATTCAACAACCCAGGTCAACACGGACTAAAGAGCTCCACAATCACACCTTAAAATGGCCATCTCCACATGACAAGGGCAGAGAAGGAAATTTCTCTCCCACAAGAAAAACAATAAAACTCACAGAGATTTAAAGATCAGAAGGAAGTTCCAACAATGTATATCTCAATCAGTAATCAAAAGATTATTTTTTCACCTTTCAAAGGTAGATTGGATGATACAAACTGTTAAAATGTTTTTTTGCACAGCTTTATACCCTAAAATGTACAATTTGTCTGACAATTGAATTCTACTTGTCTCATGTCCTCCAAGTTTCTTTTTTATGTACAGTGTCCAAGTACAATTGTATTGTTTGATAGTTGTTGTGTGAGGATATTATACATGTAACTCAATGATGGATGAAAATATGTACCAGACATGTTTCCACACCACACCCAGATCAGAAAATGTTCAACATCTTCACCAAAGTGGTCCAGTGGTCATAAACATACAGAAATCTTTCTCCAAACAATATCTCCCAACCCCTTCACAAAATGATTGCTCCCTTAAACATCTTATTTATTTTTTTTGCTTTAATAAACGTGGGGGGCAGCAAACCTGCACTAGAAAGTCTAAAAAAATGCAAACCAGATAAGGCAGTGGGAAACGGGCTACTACAATCTTACTTTGACTTGCCAGAATCACAGAACTCCAGAAAATTTGATTACTCCAAACCCAATGATAATGCTGCAAGGATTGATTGGTCAAGATCCTCCAATTTTGGTTGGCAAAAGCCAGACAAACTGAAGAGGTTCCGGCCAATAATAACAAGCAATCAAGGTGAATATCTTGAGTGGCTTGCCCCAAAGTTTTGTTCAATAAATTGAAATGATGATGCTTAATCAACTTGACCATTTTTTACTTTTTTACAGTGGAGATTTCAGAGCTGAGACAAGGCTGGCTGGAGATTAGAGCTGCAATTCAGGATTTTGAATGCTGGTGCAACCCTGAGCATTATGAATTGTTTTACAAACTAAAGGATCTCCTACATTTCTTGAAGAGGATGGTTCAGGTAAGGTTATATGGTCTGTATGGAGGTCAACCGTTAAGTCTTTGGGTTTGGAAAAAGACAGAGAGTGATCCATTAGGTAAAGAAAAGACACAAATGGAAGATATACAGCCTCCTCTGGACATTGCAAGCTCTACAAAAAATACATTGGTGCAGGAGGGGAATAATTTATCATCAGGGACTGATTTCAACTTGCATGAATTGTTAATTAAACAAGACATACCAAAACAAGAACAGATTGAATTACATGGCGACTTACTTCTTGATGTTAGAAAGAAGGTGTCAAAAGAATTTCCCGAGTATTGGGATAGTTTAGAAACAAAGCTGGTCACATTTCAAATTGATGATCACTTTAAAGATTACTTTGAGAGTGAGATGTATTTCTTTGCGAAAGCAATGCTTCTTTCAGCAGAGTATATTGCAAAGTTGAAATTGATTCCACAAAGCTACATTGATAATATCAAAATTTACAAGCCAGAAAATCTTATTCCATTGATCAAGTATTATGCATCAACAGTGTTGTATGACTCTACAAAGCATATACAAAATGATCATTGTAATTTTTATTCAGTGAAGCCCAATGAAATCAGTTGTCAAATTCATAGAAACTTTAGGCCCATCCAAAGAGCCATTGAAGGTATGTTTCCTTTTAGATTTTTTTTTAATTTTTTATCAAGATAAAATTTTACTTGCTAAATTTGATTCAAATATTGTAGAAAAACTTTCCATTGAAGATCAAAAGCTTGCTACTTACCAATTAAGTAAAGTTTTTGTTGACTCAGTTCTGGGTTTTAAAAATTTGAATGAAAGATTAAGGAAAATTGGGGAAGGTTTTTGTTCAGAACACTTTTTTGATAATTTGAATATCTTATCATCAATTTTGAGCAGTAATCAAAAAAACTATCAAGAGAAACAAGATTCTATTGGAGCTCAAAAATTGCACTATGTTTGCAAAGTCATTAAGGATGCTATTACCTACTTTGATAGCCCTCCAAAAGGCTCATCTGGACTTGTTGAGTCAATTGAAATTTACACAATATTTTCCATCATTGATTTCATCAAAAGTAAATATGAGCCATTAATATATTTTCTGAAGCCTGAAGGAATGAAGGATCTGGTCCTCAACAAGAAAATAAAATATATTGATTATTTGGTAAAATACTTTTCACATAGACCTCCTCGTGAATACAAGCAGGGTGAAGTTCACTTGGCAATTGAATATATGACACAAATTGAAGATGATGGAATTGACATAAGCAAATGGATTCAAGATGTTGTAGAACAGATGATGAGAAAAGAAGATATATGATTCAATTACTTTCAAAATATATCTATACATTAAAATTCTTCTCTCAGAATTTCGCTGTTCCCTGAATTGTCTTTCTGTCATGAAATTTATTTACTGTTTTCTTGTTCATTCTATCTCACTCTCCTATCACAATTCTTCCACTTTTTCTATTCATATATAAGGCTCAGATATCTTGATTTAAATATCAGAATTGAAATTCATTCATCCAACTCACAACTTCTGGTCCTGGCCTTCATTAATATTACAGTGGTCCTCAAATGTGATCATCAACAGTATTCAATGATATTTGATTACTCTAATCAATTCTCAAATAACTTCACTCCATCTAGTGATTGATTGAAACATCTGACATAAGAAATTCAAAACAAAACTTTCAGACCACATGAATGGTCCCTGGTAAGGATAATATTTGATACTCCAGGCTTGATTAATCCCTAATTACCAATTGAATCTTCAAACGTGCCGAGATTTAACCATTATCTTACAGTTTTCATAAGATAGAATGAATTCTTATATTTCAATCTCAACAAGGAAGAGAAACAAATATCTTTTATTTTGAAAACACAAGAGGGTAAACCAATAGATCACTTTAAGCAAATATCTGTTATTTTGAAAACCCAAGAGGGTAAATCAATAGATCACTTTAAGTTAATACCTATATGAATCAGATGGTTTTATTATAAGTGAGTGCTACTCACAAAAATCCATGAAGTCTTTGAAATACTCTAAAATTTTCAAAGTTGCTTGCAAAGTGGACAGCAGGAGATGCAACTGAATACCAAATCATTATTTGAATTTTTCATGGTTTTCTCATAAGTTTTCTGGCAAATAGAGCAGAGACTTTTGAATAAACTATAATTTCTGTTGAGAGAGGGGGAAAGAGACCGGGAGACGAAAACCTTAAGGAAAAAGCTCAGAGGGAGGAACAATTGGTCTTAGAGCCCAAAAAGGGGCTAAATGCTGCTAGCTTGCGTGGAGGAAAAGCTCACATGCTACAAGGAGTTGTATCTTGTAGAGACTCCAGGGATCAGTGCGCAGAAGAACAGATGCCTTTCAATTTCTAACTCAGGAGCATGATTATTTATCTACATACACAAGTGGGCTGAGATGTGGGACAGAAGGTTACAGAAGCATATTCATCTGGAGCAGGAAAGAAATGAGTGACAGATGTGAAAAGGAGTGACAAGGATGTGAAAGGGAGAGAAAGGAAAGACACCACGACTGCAGAATTCCAACAACTTTCTTCTGGATCCAAGACTTTCACCTTCTTGAGTGATGGCTGGTGATTTGAGCTTCCTTCAACCATTATAGGTTTTTTAGGAGCCAGTTTATTGTCAGTTCATGGTTTCCCTTGATTTCTGCCCGCAATCAGCTGTCAATAATAACTTAACTAAACCTGAGAGAAGGAGATTCATGGTTAGCCAAATGCTTTCAGAAATTTGCAGTAAATTATTTTGAATCTTGGGAGAAAAAGGGAATATTATTTATCAACCTTTGGCTGGGATTTGAGAAGCAGGTCAGGGATCAAGCTCCTTGAGTCCTCTCATGCCACCGGTTTCTCACTGCATAAGTAACTCGAAAAGTATACATCAGGTGGAGCATTTCAGAACCTCACACACATTTCTATGTGCAGTCCAATGCCTTATGGTGTGCTGTGTCAATGAGGTTGCCATATCTCTTGCCGCAGTGAAGCTTGATTCCCATACTGTTGCCCAAGTGACTGGGTCTTTGCAGGAAATGTGTCGGTCTTGATATATCAGAGGCACTCCGTAACTTGAAGTGCATCTAAGGTATTATCATTGGGAGATGAAAATTGATGGTGGGAGAGGTGGACATCTTGGTCCTGATGAGTGAAGGAAACAAGCAAACAAAAGGTCTGATCTTTCAAAATACATTTTGAGCTTCTCAAGGTCTTTCAGCAAAAACACATCATCAGAAACAATGCACTTCCATGAAATCAACCACATAATGCTTTGAATGCTGGAGAACAACCGTGGATATGGGTTTACATTTCAAGGGGCCAACAATGAGTTACAACAATTTGTTCACAACATCTGATGTGAAAAAACAAGATCAACTTAATAGGGGGTATCAAATAAAACCAAATCCACCATTATCCAATTGACTGGTTTGAAAAAATCCACCCTTTTCTAAAAATGTTGGTTATCCATTTAACCCCTTTTGGGGCCCATTTATGCAAAAAAATGTTTTTGGAAAAGTGACTGGTTTCTGATGGTGGATTTCCTACATTTGATACCCCCTAATACTAGAGTTGCAAAGGAATCCATAAACATTCCAGTTGTATTGAAGTGTTTTTAATCATGATAGAAAGTTAGTTCAAATGAATGAAGATTTTTGTTGGTGACATAGCAGGATTATGTATCTGAAAGCTTCACTGGATGCTACCCATTGAAATGATGCAAGGGTAAATTCAGAATGTCTGTATAATGTATCATGAATCACTAAAGGTGGAGAGCAACTCGAATCCGCTAGTCGGATGGCAAAGGCCAAGACCAATTCAAATATCCAGAGCTTTTCAATGCATCTTGTACTGAATCCTGAGCTGATGAGATACTTGAAGCGTCCTTTGGGTTCTGGATTTCTCCGAGAACCTCCAAGGCCGCTTTGACTTTGTCAACAGACGAGAATCCGATCACGGTGTGGGGGAAGTACATGGGGTAGAGAAGGGGGAATGATAAGTGCACGCCATCCCCCATCGAGCAAGCCAAACTGCACGCCAAAGCAGATTGGCGTGCAGGTGCGCACGCCAAAGCAGATTGGCGTGCAGGTGCGCACGCCAGTGTGCAGCAGGGTAGATTGGCCTGCAGTTGGCGTGCAGGCCTGCACGCAAATCTGGGTCCTAAACCATATAAATATGGGGTTTAGGACTGGGCCTATCCCATAGGACCCAGGCATGGGTCCTATGGCATAGCCCATGGAGAAAGTGCAAAAGGCGACTAAAAAAGTTTTTGGGCTGGGAGGAACCCCTCCCAGGCGAAAGGCTGTCCAGTCTCACGGCCGGGAGGGGTTCCTCCCGCCCTTGAGACTGTACATGGCTGTACATGGCTCAAGGCCGAGAGGAATCTCTCTCGGCCTTGAGACTGTACATGGCTCAAGGCCGAGAGGGATTCCTCTTGGCGTTGAGACTCTACAGTCTCAAGGCCGAGAGGGATTCCTCTCGGCCTTGAGACTGTAGGTCTCAAGGCCGAGAGGTTTCGCCTCGTCGGCCTTGAGACTATTCCCTCCTGGCGGCGAGGTTGTACAACCTCGTCGACCAGGAGGATTCCCTCCTGGCCGGCAAGGTGGGCCTTGTCGACCTTGTAGGACACCGGCCGGTGTCCTACAAGGATCGACACATCCCATAGGACCCAGGCCTGGGTCCTATGGGATAGCCCTGGTCCTAAACCCATATTATTATGGGTTTAGGACCTGCAAGCCAATCAACCTGCAG